TGCAACTCGCATCATGAGAGAAAAAAAAGAAAGCGAAATCAAGCAATCGCAACCTTCTGAACTGGAGGGGTGGGGGGCATGTTCAAAAAAAAGCTAAATGGAAGGGGTATGGTTTTTTTGGTTTTGTAGTCAGTTTCTGTTCAGCGGTTTTCGTTCTTTTCAGTTCCAACTAGGCATACGTTTCAACCGCAATCAACTCTGTGCTATCCGTCTGTTTTGCAACAGCGATTCAATCGATTCACGTGGCCTCCAAGCACCCGCCGTGTATTCCATTTGTATTACCACAGCTGCATAAATTATTACCAGTATCAACTAGAGACTACGAACGTTACGCCACTACAAAAATATTGGCAAAAATCTCCTTCAAGAAAAAGATACTGCAATGATCATAATTAATTGATACCTAAGTTGAAATGACAACCACACAACATCCCTTGATTTGGGGCTCACAAATAACGCAAGGTGGGTAAAAAAACGATGGAACGGTAGGCTACAATAAGGAGAATGCGCTACACGCGATTCCACTGCTTTGTAAACGAATCCACGATAGCAAGATCCTAGTAAAGGAGGGTTTAGTATGAGAACGGTAAGACTTCGTTCATACTTTGCGTCAGCGTTTCAAACGTTTCGAGCGTACGTAGCGTTGTGAGCGACTAGAAAAGTATTGCTATAACCCAATGTTTTGAGCGTACGTAGCGTCTTCGACGAATTCCCGCGAAAAGTTCAAAACTACCGAGAAACGCTTAGACGCTCTCTTGCGCCCAAATCCATAACTCCCACTCGTTCAAAACACTGCAGTACGCTCGAAACGCTGACGCAAAGTATGAACGCAGCTTGAACGCCTTTTCGACGCAGGAAAGTTAAAACAAAACTACAAAACCCATCGAACAATATCATCTTCTCTGCACCTTATTTGTAGCCTGTGCGAGGTGAAATTCAGAGTATTCAGAAAAGATCAGTCGACGTAGGACACCAAGTACAAGTGGAAACTCCATTCTTCGTGTGGCGTCTGCAGCTTCCTCCCCAAGAGGACATGAGAGCGCCGTGTAACAAGCCTCCAGCGCCCTCAACACGTTTTTAGTGGGAAAAGAGGTTCAGATTCTGTGATTGCGGACTCTCCACTCCACAAAGGACTCCACCTCTCAAGCGTTATCATAGGCCGAATACTTGAAACAGAAACTTGATTTCCTCAACAACGTATAATCTTTTCAAAACTGAGAAGCTTCTTGCAAGTGCTCCTAGCGTCATGAAAATCCACAGTCACTACAATTCTGTGCTCTTCCAAGGTCACGGAACTCTCAACTAGAATAGATAGACGGTTCCTAAAGAGCGGGTTTCGATCACAGCTCCTTCTCATTTTTTTTCATTTTTTCCAACGCACTCGCCCTGAGTGAGGTTCGGATTACAAGTTTCATGCCTTCTAAAACATACCGTTTGGGTTAAAAAGGCTGCACCAATCGTTGACTCCTGGTACTCGTGAAACTGTCCTTTAACAAAACGTAAGACCAGTGATGATTTTCCTGAAACAAAGAGAAGCTAAAAAGGCTAAAAAAACATGAGAATTGAACATATTTGGTGAGTGAATGTCCTAGGGATTAAAATGACTAGCAACAAGTTTTCGCACTTCTTGCTAAGAGCGACAGTCGTAAAAAAGTAGGGATTACCCGAGTAAACACTATAAAGGTAAACTTTCGCCTTTAAAAATAGAAAAAAAGGAAAAGATGAAAATGGTGACGAAAGGTCCCATTTGGGATTGGATGGACGTGGTAATCTATAACACTTCTATTCAATCAATAGCTCGGCGAACTGTACCCGTGTAATATCTGATCAAACCGAACGCAAAAAGGAGAAGCCAAAATGTTTTCCTTTAGGCAACGTGATTCCTACGGTGCTGCGAAGTCTACGATATATAAGAAATAAATGCGTTAGGTCTATTTGAATACCGCGGCAAGAACTTTTACCAAACGCACGACAGGCATCCTTGTATTACAACGCCGTCAACCCAGATCTATCCGACCGCGGAAAAATGAGGGTGCGGTCTAGTAAAAGCGCGAACTTGACAAAGCCGATTTTGCTCTATTCCACTCAGCATGAGCCTACCCTTTGTGCTGAACCAGAAGTCCGGAATAAAATCCATAGATGAGTTAAAAAGCGGTTGAATGCGCACGCATGAGCCTAATAAATTTTCCAAAGAGAAATCAATAGTGAAATGTTCCCGAGAGGCCACAACCAAAACTTGAAGACAGAAATTCTCCTCTCCTGCTTCCTTATGGAAAAAAGTGCACCTACAACAACACCTTCGATTATAGGAAAATCTCGCCGAATTG